AAGTCCACCGACAAACCATATTTTTGTTGAAGCTCGGATTTTAATAAAAAGTTCTTGCTTTCGTTTTTAAAGGTGGTGAATTTTAATAACCCCCTTTTTATACCATGACAAGTAAAACACTGGTTTCCCATCTATTTGTCTTATAAAATGGTTGTTCCAAATAGTTTCATTCTGGTAGTCCTTGACTGTGGAAGGGTTCTTAAAGTGTGGCTCCTGCCAAACAGTCAATATATCTCTGTAAAACTTTGGCACATGTGAGGCCAAATTTAAATCGCGTGTATCAAAATTACAGTTGAAGATAGCTCATCCCCCATATTGAGATGTAACCAACGAGGAGGGAGAGCACCATTTACTACCATCTGCTTCACACAATCGTTTAACCCACGCTGCTTTAAGGGACTTGACCACCATGTTGAAGTCAACCATATTAAGACCACCCTTACATGTATCCACAGGACCTATGATCGTGTGACGTTTTACCTTGTCTGTGTTTGTATTTTAAACTGTATTACGTAGATGTATTGTAATGTTAGTTGTGTAAGTATTAGTAGTGTAAGTTATGTAACTGGCTGTATTGTATGCAAATAAAAGTTTATAAAAAAAAAAATAAGAAAAAAAAGAAAATAAAAAAAAAGTTTACATTTTTTCTCAATCTCATTTGTCTTCTTTGAATATTTGATGGGGTTCAAATGTTACATCTTGTAAGCAGTCTAAAGAGACTACCACAGCTACTAGATCTAGCACTGTCACATTTCATGATCAGCACTGCCCCAGATTAAAAGCAGTGCATGCATTCACAACAATGCAAGGCATCACACTGAATTATTTGAGGAGTCAAACAAAATAAAGGAAGTAAACACTCACTCTGAACCAGCCATAATTTTGGAAAGCCTTGCAGTTAGCATTTTGTGAAGAAAGGGGAGAGAAATGTCCTTCGTGGAAAAGTCCCAGTGTATCTGTGTATCTTTTCGGAAACCCCTTTTCAGCTTAAGGTTTAAAGTGGTACTACCGGTATGATGAAAATCGCATCTTTCCTATCGCATCCATTTTAAATCATAAACAAGTAGCCTGTGTGAGAAGAAAAATGCTGTTTACCATACTCAAGTATCTCTTTTCGTTACAGAGATATTCAAGTTATTAAAATATGCATATTAGCCTAGTGATGACATCATACATTCAACCAAGTTTTGATCAAATATGACGAAAAAAGATATCTCAGCCAATTTGTATAACAAATGTTTGATTCTTTGCAATAAGATTCCACTAAATGTGCTCCACAATATGAACATACCAGTTCGGTTACCATGACAAGATACTGGGTTACAGACCTTCCCAGTATTAAAGGCATTTCTGGCCATCTTTGGCATCCTATTTTGATATTTGTAAATGGTGCCTCATATGCTTGATCCAGCAAGCATATAAATATGTTAGCTAAAGTTTGTGGCCTCGTTTAATGTTTTACGAGCTGAAAATCACTAACATATTGAAATCAAGTGGTTAGAGACTGGAAAAGAGTGAGTTGCCATGGGAACAGAAATTTTCATAACCGTAGGTGTGTTTCCTGTAGAATTATTAGCCTATCAAGTTTCAATGGTCTGCCCTGCAAATTGACCAAGATAGCTCTATTTTTACCTCATGGTATGACATAAGTCATGCTATGACGTTTAGGGTTTGGGGGTGAAATTCAATTAAAAAACACTCACTCACATTGTTAGACAATTAATTTATGCATTAAACCTGGATTAAACACATTCTCCCATATCTCCCCCTCCCTGACAAGTTTGTCTCGCTGTTCAAAGTCACGCCATTGTCTCAGTGTACGTATTTGGGGGGGTAGTACAAAGGCGAGAATATGTCCAACTACTTGGACAGATTCAAAATGGCGTCCTGTCCCTTTGAAGCGTGATGGTTTTTTGATTCCAAACCTGATCGGAACATATCTTTGTGGAGCCAAAAATGGACAGGAAATATGCTACAGAATACTCGACTGCAGAGAAATGGGCGTCAAACTCCTAAAATTGACGATAACATGAACGATTCGTGTGCGAAGACATGTTAAGACCTCAAACATGAAGTAAGCTTTCTGCAAATTGGTTAGCGTTAAACTGTCGGTCACCCCAAAACGCAGACCATGCAGACTGCAGACAATGCAGACCGTACAGATAGAGTACTTTTTTTCTAACACTTGACTCACTTTTTTCACTTCTAGTGACAAAATAGAGTTTAATATGTCCTAATGTTTGTTATTTATCCACAGGCGGCACAAACTCAACATCTGACTGTTCATTCACGCGTTTAATAGACTTTCTCTGGGAAATTCCCTTTACTGGTCGTAAATATACTAAAATCAAGCATAAATATAAAGTTCCATACATTCTAGGTGCAAATTGCGCCAATTTTTGACGGGTTTGTGGTTTTATTTATTTTGTCCAATTTGTTGTTGTCGTTGTTGTGTTTTTTTTTTCCGATTTTCTTAGTCTTCGCAAGGATGGTGATTCTAAGCGAACTTGTCCCACAAATCGCTTTTGCTTCACAAAGTAGAGAATCTCCATTAGACCAGGAGCATTCCCTCTT